AGGATACTTTGCTAACAAGCATAGCTGTCTCCTGACTTAATAGCATCGTTTTAAAAGCAGTTCTTGCACGATCAGTTAGAGCTCATAGTATAAGTTGGGTGTGACTCTCAGCTACTGCCACACTAAATTTTAGCTCAGTATGTGTAAAATTTACTGACGTGTCACCATTATTGTTTCATAAAGTTGCTCAGCTGTTGCAGCCATTTTGAAAAGTGCTGATCTTAAAAGTTAATTTCAAATGTACATTCAGTGATTAATTTCTGAAATTTTCAATAAAAATGGTCTAGTTTAAGATATTTTGCTAACAAGGCTGATAGTTGAACAGAAACACTGGCAGTCAAACAGGAAAAACATTTCTGCAGTGTTGTGTCTGCATCATCAGTTACTCAAATCAAACTTCTGTTCTGTCTGAAAGATGAACTCTAAGCTCATTTTGTTTCTCTTTTTCCTGTTAAAGCTCAGCTGAGAGTTTAATCACCTCAGGAATTTCTGTGTTCGTGTACAGGAGTTGTTCGAACAAGTTTTCACTTAATAGATACCCCCCAACAGCTGTTGGTTTATTTCTAACTGAACTTTGAACACCGTGGGATATTTCACACTATAAAACTTTGGAGATCCAGCTCGACGTGTAGAGGTTGGCCATTTGCATTGCCAGAAGTTGTTCTACCATAGAGTCTCCTTATTTTTTCAGGTACATAAACATGTTAAACACATCAGTTCTTAGCCGTGTGCCTGAGGATTTTCTCAAGAATGAGTTGCACTGAAGAGAAAAGTGTAGCGGTTCAGCAACTATTGTGTGAGTCATTACTCAGGAGTGAATGAGTTAGGGCTTTTCTCAGAAGGTAAACACATGCGAAGAATTTAAAGTCAATAGCCGTGTTTCCATCAACATTTTAATGCACATTTTGAATCATTGCATAAGAAAAAGTTGATTAAAAAGACAAAATTTAAAAAAAAAACTGACTCAATTTCGCAAAAAAAAAAGTTACACTTGTGTCGTGGCTAGCCTTTTCGCCAGGGCAGAGATGCGGGAAATAAACAAAATGGAAACTGTGTGGTCTCGGTCTCAGATTATTTAATAGAAAGGTGCATATGCAAAGAATGAGCAGAGCCAGACAGACGCGAATCGAAGCGTCTGTCAAGCTCTCGCTGACCCGGAAACAGGAAAACAGACGATATATACATCCTGCGGGCGACACGGTGGCTCAGTTGGTAGAGCTGATGCCCCTCAGCAAGAAGGTCACCGGTTCAAATTCCGGTCCGGGGACCTTTCMGGGTAGAGTTTGCATGTTCTCTCCGTGCATGCGTGGGTTCTCTCCGGGCACTCCGGCTTCCTCCCACAGACCAAAAACATGACTGTTAGGTTAATTGATAACTCTAAATTGTCCCTAGGTGTGAGTGAGAGAGTGAATGGTTGTTTGTCTCGTTTGTCACTATGTGTGGCCCTATGATAGACTTGCGACCTGTCCAGGGTGTACCCCACCCCTCGCACTGTGACTGCTGGATATGGACACCAGTGACCCAAGCAACCCTCAAAAGGAAGAAGCGTGTACAGAAAATGGATGGATGGATGGATATACATCCTGCTAACAAAATAAGAGCGTCAGAGATATCCAGGAAACCAATGACATGGTTACAAGTAAATAGGCCATAAGATTACCTGAGTACATACAGTATCTTAAGAGTCATGAGAAACAGATTATATAATGGCAGTTTATCAAGAGATACAGAACAGGACATGTCAAGGTAAAATGCAGTTAGGGAGTCAAGATATTCTTCTACCACAGCTCATTTTCAGGTGGTTTTTGGATTTTTCGAAAAAGAATTAATGAGCAAAAAGGGAGATGGAAACACATTTGCCAAATAAGTTTGGACTTTTCCCTCACGTGATTGGTCAGCTGTTTCTGCCGTCTGCGTCTTCCTGGACATTCCATAACGTGAAGAGAATTTAATTTCCTTCTCTACGTCTCTGTAACATCGAAAATAGTAGTTGAAATGACAGAATAACAACTTGCCCAATAGCAACACATTCCTGAGAACTTTTCTCCTCTACTTCCTGTTTAATACAACCATGCGCAACATCAACATCTAACGTAATTACACTTTGTGTAGCCTGGTTGAGTCACTCCAAACCAGTATATTGAAACATGCCTAATTGGCATTTATTTCTTTATATTTTATTTTTTGCGTCATTTTAAAAGTTTACTCAAAATTCGGATTAAGATTTGATGAAAACATGGCTAATAATGTAATATCCATGCTTTGTGGTGACAGTTTGTCATTTTTAAAAAACACAATTTAATAAAAAGGTGCCAGAGGTTTTAATAAAATCAGGAATGAGATTTATTTTTAAAGAGCTAACGTCCATGGTTTGTCATTTAATTACATTAGATCAAGGGGTGAAAGTTCAAACCATATAATTTGCATGATGGAACTGGCATGGATGACAGTGTGGGAGGTCGGATGGTCCAACATTTCATGTACCGTGAACAAAATGACACACTATAACCTTCATGTCATAAACATTTGAATGATAATTGGTTTATTTCTATGAACTTTCATTCAGACATGTAATCCCAGATTGATAAAAACAGAGTAATTGTTGGATTGTTGACTACTCATTTATAAACATACTCAGGCTTGTTTGTAAGTTGCATCCTGATTGATCCAATTACATGCATCTCAAATTGCATGCCTAAACTTCTTTAAAATTAACTAATTACTTAGGCTACATTCAGAGAAGAGTTTAAAGATATTGGCAAAATGATTTTTATTTCATGATTAAATTGTGGATATGATTATTATTAGTTGACAATTGCCGTAACTGATGTTGAGACCTGTCTGGCTTTCCTCTTACTGCAGTTAATGACAGTGTTTCATGTAATTAAATAAGTTTGTAGGGTTAGGGTTTAGGGGTGTAAGTAGATATCGACACACTGAAAAATTGCAGTATTTCATTTTCTGATGCCGTGTTGATTCTCAAAAGCACGATATTGCTTTTTAATTAAGGCTTGATGGATGGATGTTGTAAGAAGAAATGTGAACTATAAATACAGTTCTCACTGTTGTTCAGTGTTCTACTAATTGCATAAAATAAACAGAATTTTTTGAGATTTTGTCCATAATGCATGATGTGCTCGTTAAACTGAGTTATTTTTAAATTAGGATATTTGTAGACAAAAATGGCAATATATCGCCTCACGTACAGTATGGTGATATATCATATCCTGGCCATGTGTCTTGATATTTATCATCACTAAATTATTGCCAACACACAGCCCTATTGGGGTTAGCTGCTGCCTTCCACCATTGGGCTCACAAGTATGTGTTGCACACACACGTCATCATGTGGCATTCATTTCAGTAATCACAAAGTGGCAAATTTTAATTGTTTGCAATTTTTCTGATGATTATTGCACACAATGCGATTTTGCGCAACCCTATTTCAGAGGTGACTGGTCAATCTAATATCTGCGTTAACTTCATGTGTCTTGTTCTACTTAGTCCTTGGACATAACTCTAGACAATCAGGGGTGTTTATGCTAGAATGTCATCCCATTTCTCTGTGATTTGTTATACAAATATTTATTTAAAAAGCAGTTTCCAAACTCACAAAATAGATTTTATACTGACTAGGGTTGGGCCATTAATCGATTTAATCGATTAATTCAAATTTGCCATTTATAAAGATTTAAATTTGGGAAAATAGAGATTTTTTCCCCCACCAGTGCACTGTTTAGGGCTTCTGTAGTTCAGAGGTCACCCCGCCTGTCCCTCAAAATGCTTGGTACACAACATGACAATATGGCAGCTAGCAAAGAGGATCTGCTTCCCCGCAAAGGCACTGTTTCTTCAGTTGTCTGGAACTGATTAGGTTTCCAAACCTCGGACTTGGAGCAATGAACACCTCACTGCAAAATCTATTTGAAGGTTCTTGCTACAAAAAGCAGGAGTACAACAAATTTGTTTCAACACTTGAAACAGAGGCACTCCGCTATGAGGGGAAAAAAATCGATTAAAATCGAAAATCGAATTTGGGATGAAAAAAATCTGAGTTTTTTTTTGTTTTTGTTTTTGGCCATATTGCCCAGCCCTGATACTGACTTATGCAACACTGTCCAAAGCAACTGTAGATACAGGTGTCTTTTTGTTACTGTTTCATGAACAAGTTCCTTTAAAAGAAATGACAGAATACAGAAGTTAAAAAAACAAAACAAGAATCAAAGTCACTCAACACTGGATGACCACCTAGCTAGTCACTCCACGACTTATTAATATTTATTATTTATTGACCTTTATTTAACCAGGCATATGATCACAGATCTCTTTTGTGGGGCAGGCCTTGGTCTAAAGGCAGCTTATTGTACATGTTTTTGGTCTGTGGGAGAAAACCAGATTACCAGGACCTTCTTGCTGTGATTATTATAAAGCTTGATTGCAGCAAATTTTAAAAATAATGGAGGGATGAAGTCGAGGCACGAGCTGCTTATTACCTCACTACTAACACTTTATCCAAGTTTCTAACTATTATGGAACTATAGGAAGCTCACTGTTTTCCTAAAGTCGTCTTTGAAGTGGTGTTCTGCCAGATTCTTTCTTTAGTATTACTCCTTTAGTCATGACATGAACCATGGATCATGGAGTATGGAGAAACAGGCAAAAGTCTTCATCCAGGCTACGCTAATGGCTAGCCAAACAAAAGTTCTCTGTTCTGTAAAACTTTTCCCACATCTGGGTCATTTTCTGTCATCACGGCTCTTTAAATAACTTTTTTCTGTTTAATCTTCGAGAGTCTGTGCGACAAACAGAATACATTTCAGCTCAGCTCTGTCTCTTGTGTTTACATGCAGCAGATCCCAGATTACAGTTAGACAACATCTGCTCTGTCCCAAATAATCTGCCCTCTAGGAAGTAAAGCTTGGCTTTATTGACCAGGAGGAACAGACATGAAGAAAGCTTTACTTTTTTTGTTCTGATTTGCTTCTTTCTTTCTGTTTCAGGCTTTAGAAGAAATGAGGAGATGAGAGCAATGGAGGTGCTTCCCATCCTCAAAGAGAAAGTTGCCTTTCTGTCAGGTACACTTCTTAAAGATGGCTGCGTTTGTTTGTTTGTGCATGATGCCACCATGTAGAGTCCTCAGGTAGCTGTAGACTCTCTGCAGCTTTCCATCCTAAGTGCCTCATCTGTCTCCTACACTCACACACATACAGAGTGTGCACATAATAACAAGCTGTTTACTCTGGCTGTAAAAACTCAGGGGGGTCAGGCTGAGGCCCAGACACTTAGCCCTTGACCCAACTTCAAACCCTTTCATCCACTCACAGTGCACAAAGTGACTCACACACAGAGATGACCATTGTGTAACCGGTGTCAACAGGACTGCAGAACACAGAGCTACAGCTGCCCGTGTGTCTTTGCTCACTCATGTCTGACACACACACACACGCACGCACGCACGCACGCACGCACGCACGCACGCACACACACACACACACACACACACACACACACACACACACACACACACACACACACACACACACACACACACACACACACACACCACACACACACACACACACACACACACACACACACACACTTGAATTGTGCCAGAGAAAACTCACGCTGCCAAGAACATCCAGCGGCATTGTTTGTACAACATGCTAAAACATAATTCATCCTGAGTCTGTATGTGCAAGAGTGGGCAGCATCTCATATGTCTATGAGCACGGGAACGCCACGGGAAACACACTCACGCAGAAGATGTGCACACAGATGATGAGTTGAATAACAATTTAGAGTGTGTGTTCAGCGGCGTGTGTACGCTCACGTCTCTTTTGGTCCTTTCATGTGCGCTGTGAAGGTCACAGGTAAAAACCACCTCGATAAGGACAATGACTCAGACAAATAAAAGTGCGATTGGGAGAGGGAGATACAGGGCAGCGTTGCCATGGAGATGACTTGCTGTCAGCTGCCTCATCCCAGTGCAGTCGCTGCCTGGGTAATTGGCTTTGAAATGGTCGGGGGGGACGAAGAGAAGGGGCTGCTGGTGAAGGTGAGAGTAAATGAACTAAGCTTATTATCCTGAATCTGGCCTCATAATCAAACAGCAGTGCTGCTGGTCGACGCTCATGTTTCACTGTTAGCACACCAACGGTTGATTCTCCCCGTCAGAGCGGCTCGGTGGAGCCTGCAGGCACACAGAGCCCCGGCTGAACTCACTAATTTGTGGGCTGGAACCCAGTCATCTTGTGTTTACTAGTTCCCACGTGAAAGAAGAAACTGTGCAGGGTGAAAAACTCGACATTCAGTCACTGGACAATGTGCTGCTCAGTTTAGACTAACAAATCAATATTCAGAAACTTATATTATAGCCAGAAGGCTTCAAAAGGCAGAAATGATCTTATGGATTTACATAGTGGTGTTTTTCAACCATGCAGACAAAACATCCTTGATTCCAACTTTTTCTGCATTGCAACATGAACTTATAGTTCAGCATTTTCTCCGTATTCACATTCAGACATATTTATTTCTAATGAACAGAAATGTAATTATTGCAAAAAAGGAAGTATATCCTCTTTCAGTTCTAGGGTTTTACCATACCAAAACATGTTCTTTATCAAGTTCAAAAAGTATTCAGATCTAACTTAAAATGTGGACAAACAACAGACTCTAACATGTCAGTAAACTAAATTAAAGCCATTCTTGAAAAGCTGTCCACCCTTGTTACTTCCACAAAATTTATGGGGTTCAGTAGCAGCCAGATGCTTCTGACCCCATGTATTGATTAACTGATCATCATCAGTAGCCCTGTTTCCATCCAATTTTAATTGGAATTTTGAGCTAATTTTTTAAATTTCACAAAAAGGAAAAAATGAAGAAATGCTAATCAGATGTGTTTTCATCAACTGGCTTGAAGCGAATCAATTACGTCAGATGCATGGCGGTAGTAAACAGGAAGTGAAAGTTGAAACTCACAGGTCCACACATCTCAATTTGCTGAGATGATTGGGAGTGGTCTTGAATGTTTTTTGCTGTTTCTCTGTAGAATGATGGACTTTTACTGATGTCTTTCCTTCTTAACACGCACCTGTGTTAAAGGTGTTTTTCGAAAAACCCAAAAACCACCTCAAGCGAGCGTATCAACTGTTTTGTGAATTAGAGGAAGTTTTTTCAAATCATGCCATTTCCATTCACCTTCTTTAATGTGATGCTTCAAAATGTGCTTTAAAAACCTTGATGGAAACACGTCTAGTGTGAACACCTTTCACACAGGTGCGTGTTAAGAAGGAAAGACATCAGGAAAGTCCATCATTCTACAGAGAAACAGCAAAAAACATTCAAGACCACTCCCAATCATCTCAGCAAATTCACACAAAGGCAAGAACATGCAATGCTCCGAGAAATACCCATAAACCCAAGAGCTGCAGCTCGACAAGCCTCAATTAGTAGGGATGTCCCGATACCACTTTTTCACTTCCGATACGATACCGATATTACAACTTTGAGAAATGTCCGATACCGATATTGACCGATACCGATATTGACCCGTTACTATAACAGTACAAGTCACACACTTTTACCTATTTTGTAGTGTAAAATCTTAGAAAAATCTTGATCAGATCAAACAGTGAAAAAGAGTAGGTATGAGAAAAACTGACCCATTTATTTTAAACCAATGGATCACATACATTTTACACTGAAGAACATTATACAATTTAATAAATAAAATAAATTACAATACCCTGAAAAAATAACATAATAAAAACAAAATGTACTTTTACAGTGTAAAATAATTCAAAATCACTCCAGTTATTTTTTTTACCATCTGTCAGCCTGGAGCTGCTTTATGGTGGAAAAAACTGAAGGTGGGGACAAAACAAAACCACATTATTGTCTGTTTAAAGTTAAGAGTCCACAGCTCCAGTTTTACTGACTGTAACTAAAATAATGTGATCATTGCACTTAATCTTCACTCAAACAAGTGTGTAAACAGATTAAACATCACTCTAATAACAAGAGCAAAAAATAAATAGTAAGAATTAGTTATTTAAATTGATAGCTACCTTTCTTAGTGCTAAATTTCCACTTTCTATAGTCTGAGCATCATGTGGAGATCAGCCTCTCTCTCCTGCAGGGAGCAGTTTTTATCACTGCTCTCGTCATGTCGCTCATATTTCAAAACAAAAGCTGCGCTCTTCTTTCTTCTGTCCATCAAGAGCTAATCCACGGATGTCAAAACAAGCGTGCTGTCCTCGCTTCTGCCCGCTTAGAATCACCGACCCGACCAGAGAGGAGGTTCCGAAACAGCGCGGCTGTGTGCGGTCACTGGACCGAGGCTGAACCGAGCCGAACCACAAAGCTGCTGCCAGAGAGGAGAGTAGTTGTCGCTCCGGTTTAAAACGTTCACGGTTCTGTGTTCCCTCTCGGAAAACTTGTGCATGACAACTTTACACTTAGCTGCAACTCTGTTTTTGATGAAAATAATAAGTTCTGCTGCCGACATTCTTGCTAACTTGTTAGCGCTGCTGTTGTTATGATCACGTGAGCGCTACAAGCAGGATCCAAGCGCTGCTGGATAGAAACACTGGAGCGGAGTCAGTGAACTGCTGGAACGGACTGCTTATATCGGAGCGCTGATATCGGACATTTTTTATGCAGTCCGATAAAATCCGATACTCGTTTTTTGGCTGATATCGGACCGATATCCGATATTGATATCGGATCGGGACACCCCTATCAATTAGCAGATTCAACTACACAGCAGCAAAGAAAAAAAGACTCTACATGTAGGACATGTTTGTAAGAGTTCTCTCTAAAAACGACATGGCAGCACAATTTAGGTTTGCAAAGTTTCGTTTGAATGAACCACAAGACTTCTGGAACAGTGTCCTTTGGACCGGTGAGGCCAAAGTAGAGATGTTTACCCACCTTTGGAGCAAACCAAACAACACATCATGACAAACACCTCATACCAACCATCAGTACAGTTGCGGAGGGGTGATGATTTGGATTTCTTGTGGTCATAAAGTCGTCCATGAACTCCTTCAACCAATAGATTCTGGAGTCCGATGGGAGACCATCTGCCCAACAGGTGAAGAGAAGATTGGACGAAACTTAAACTTGATCATGCTGGAACAACCCGGTGATCTCACACAACAAGCTTGCGACAGGATGGCTTAAAAAGAAAAGAATCAAGGTGTTGAAATGGTCAACAACATGAATTTTATTTATTTGTTTCATCTTTTTTAGGAATTATCCCTCTCTGTCTTGGCAAAATATTTCTTGAACCACCAGACAGATTTCAATAAAAGTCTCAGAAAGTAATCATTAGGTTTACATGTACGGATAAACATTTAAATTCAAGATGGCTACGTCGGCTCACTAATGTATTTACACCAGATTACAACGGATTACATGAGCGATTGTAATCTGGGTTAGGGTTGATGATAATGCTCAACATTTTTTTTATCAAAATTTAACCAAAATATTCAAAATGAAACTAACATGAAAGGAGGCCAATAATACTAATTTCTTCAAGGAATTGAAAGTCTGTAATCCCAATATGCATCTGGATTATTTATTTTAAATCAGTGAGACATTACGTACCTAGTGCTTGTTTGTCAAAGTCAGATTATTTATATAGTGTATAAAAACAATAAAAGTTGACCAAAGTGCTTCACAGTTCAGCCAAATGAATGGGTACAGCAACAAAGAAACACAGGAAAGTTAAAAAAATAAGTAAAATTAATATAAAATGCAGAAATACAACATAAAACATCAGCTCTAAAAGAATTTCAAACTCTTCCAGAAGGAACAGCCAATGGGTCTTAAGCATAAATTTAAAAGTCTTGACAGTCTGAAGCTCGTCTACAAAAAGGTACACTCCACATGTTTGGGGCAAAAATGATAAAAGCCCATTGACTTGTTTGTGTCTTTCTTGCTAATATTTTTTAATCGCAGTTATGTTTGTTATTTTCAGGTGGAAGAGACAGACGGGGCGGCCCAGTATTAACGTTTCCCTCACGCAGTAACCACGACAGAATACGAGCCGACGACCTGAGGAGACTGATCGCCTACCTCGCCGGCATCCCCAGGTGACGCATTTAATTACCTCTGCTCTGTAACAGGTGGGAGCAGCACCCCATTTTTTCCCCCACCACCTCCTTTTTTTAAAATAAGAAACAAAGCAAAACAACGCAGAGCAAATGGACCACTCTGGAGGCAAACACGTGATGGAGAGACGAGCATGTGAGCAGCGAGGCAGAAGCAGCTCGCTCACCGCAGCTTCTCAGCCGCTAGAAAACAGTGGTGGAGATAGAGATGCTCAGCGGAGGGTGGGGTACCGCCCGAGCTAAGAGCGGGGACAGGGAAATCAAATGACAGAAGGAGAGAGGGGTATCGGTGGAGAGAAAGCAAGAGGAAGATAGGAGGGTGGGGGCTTAGAACGGACAGAATCGGAGGGCGCATGTGTGAGGTGTGTGTGTGCGCGAATGAGGGAGCGAGCCTTCGTGTGTGTGAAAGCAAAACAAAGTGTCGCAGTAGCTCAGGCGGTGCAGCAGCAGCAGTTCCTGTAGGCGAGGAGCTCCTCACCTCCCAGGTAAAAACACATCGTTCAAACCTCTCGTTTATTTGCCTGCCGATCCTCTCTGCCTCCTCGTCTTTATTTTATTAATCGTCTTTTTGACTTCTTGACGTCTTGTTCAAACTTGTCATGTTGTTCTTGTTGGGTTTTTTATTTAGTGTTTTGTTTCATTTGATTCGGAGGGGTTAGCATCTGGATGTAGTGTTCTGTCATGTGGAGAGGAAGAACAGGTTTGGGAGAAGGATGGAGGATGTATAACGATAGAGATGGAAAGAAGAGTTCCAGTAAATTACAAAATGTACAAATGAGGGAAAAAGCCGTCTGCATTTGTGCATTCAGTTATTATTATTTTTTTGTAAACCACTGATGCATCAACAAACTGATGGCTTCCTAAATAATAAATGAAATGTTTTTTTTCTTGTTTTCAGCTGCTTGAAGCAGATTTGCGTATTTTTGTGCGTATGTCCAGGACCTGGCAGTGCAGGGGAGATAGGGTTGCATATGGATAAAAGTGCTGATCTGTGTTTTTATATTAACGTGCACTTGCTCCTCGTTTGTCACAGGTCCGTGTGTTTTGTGAGTGTGTGTGTCAGAGTGAGTGGGTGTGTGTTTGCTGTGTAGGCTTCTCATGGTATAGAAAATGCGTCATCTCACTGTATGTTCTCATTCGATTCCTCCCCTTCCCTCCTCTCTCCCCTCCATCATCCCTCTCTTGTTCCGTCAAATATCTCCTCTCTTTCTCTCTGGATTAACCCCCCCCCCACCCCCCTTCTAATTCCTCCCGCTGACCTCCCTCGCCATCCGTCCCAGCGAGGAGGTGTGCAAACATGGCTTCACGGTCATTGTTGACATGCGTGGCTCCAAGTGGGACAGCATCAAGCCTCTGTTGAAGATCCTGCAGGAGTCCTTCCCGTCCTGCATCCACGTTGCACTCATCATCAAACCGGATAACTTCTGGCAGAAGCAGAGGACCAACTTTGGCAGCTCCAAGTTTGAATTCGAGGTAGGATCAGTGGATCTGTTTTGCTCTGCGGTTCTGTTCGTTAATCCTTTGAGTAACGTGTTTAAAACGATAGCTGTCAGATGAGTTGTGATATGACCACTATAGCTGCTGTTTTGGATGCGCGCCCACCAGCTTGGTGTCAGCCAAGGGTAAAAACGTCTTCATGTTCAGCCTTAACAAACAAATCACTCTTTGTGACACCGTCAGTCGAGCGTTAAACCCATTTTCACAGCTCATTTCTAAATAAAGTCAGAAGCAGGTGTATTGCAATCCTCTGTTCTCCTGAAAGTTTCTGCACAACGTAGGTTATCCCTCCTGATAGGGACTCAAAAGCAGCTTTGATCCCTGTTTGAAAAATGTATTTTATAATCGTGAACCGTGCATATTCTATATGAGGAAGTGTTTTTTAGTCCATTTCTGAGTGGATTTTTGCCTCTGATTGAAGCTTTCTGAGTGTGGAAATGACTTTGATTGCTCACATGTCCATCTGCAAGCAGGTTCAATGCGGTCAGAATGACATCATATTGATTATTTCAAAGCAAGAGTAGCCATCGAGAGAGTACAATTATCCTCAAGCTGTCCCGCCATTCCACATAAGCATTGATTATACGTATATAGACTGCGCACAAAGGCCCTAGTCAGGAGTATTGATTGTGAAATAAATAAATTAATTAAAAATATAAGTGCATTTTAATCATATCTTTCTAATATTCAGCCTTTGAAGAGCTTTTGTTCTAATCAAGACCATCTAACTGGTAAAAGCATTTGAAGAGGACTGAAATGTGCCGCAGCTAAGATGTCTGCTGCGAACGTGCACACATGTTGGAGAAAACGGCAGGAAGCTTCTAGGTGGCTACAAGAAGGGTTTGGAGCTTACTGCAGATGTTTTGTCTTTAAAAAGACGGTTCAGCCATTTTGAAGTAGTGGTTCTGTAGAAACGATAATGTCTGACCTGTTATAGATTGCTCTTTGAATAAAGACTGACAAGCTAATGGCTTGTCTGGAAGTAGCTAAGAAGTGGGTTGTGTTGTCCTAAAACGACCAGTGGTGGACAAAGTACTCAACTGTAGTACTTGAGTAAAAGTATTGATACTCATGGTCAAATCTACTCCACTACAAGTAAAAGTTACTCAATCAAAAATCTACTCAAGTAAAAGTACTGAAGTACTTACTTTTGAAAATACTTAAGTATTCAGAAGTACATGCATTTTAAAGTACTTAAGTACAAAGTAAAAGTACAAATTACATTTTCTTTTTTTCTTTTCTTTTTTGTCACTTCAGTAGAAAACGAAACTAAATATTAGTTTATTTAGTTTATTTCTTCATCATCAGTGACTTTTTTTAAGTGAAGAGAAAATAGAGACAGAGATAAAAACAGAGAGAGAAGTAATTAGAAAGATAGAAAGATTGAAATAGAAGTATATTAAATATACACCAACAAAACACAGGACCACACACCCAACATCTGTCCGCTCACCTGAAAAATAAATGGATAAGTACATGGAGGGCATATATAAAAATATACACATACCCATACATATATAAAGATATACATACATACTACATTCATAAATATTGTCAGTATATACACACAGACATATATACACACAGACATATATACACACTCAGTGACCAGTCAGAACCCCCCGGATCAGAACACCTGTCTGTGAGCAGTTGTGAACATGCGTGTGTATACAAGATTTCTCCAATGGAATATTTAATAGTGACTGTGGAGGACCGAGACCCAACCTCCAAGACACGAGGCAGATATAGGGAAGACCAGAGCCCAAGGGCCCGAGAGGGATCCCGAGCGCAGAGCCCCAAGGGGCACCCACACGGGGCTCTGAGCTAGCAATTAGCACACAATGGTCGGCTATTTTTCAATCATCTGTCACAGCATTAAACCACAACCACCCTAACCAAAGTCAACTTCATTTAAAGCGTTTAAACTAGTGAGAAAAAAGTTTGCTGACTTACCTCAATGTGCTTTCTCAGGTTAGATGGTGAGTTATGGAATACTGAAAGGTACTTTACCCGTGGTAAACAGAGAAGACACTTGAACTGATACATATTATTTTTAAGTCCTAAAACCTCGAACATTGAACMGAGATATGGCCATGGGTGTGCTGGTTTCTCTCCTTGCGTTTCCTCAGTGTTCTCCACTGCATCTTCTTCTTCTTCTTTTGTCTGGTTCTGCTTGAAATGAAAGTAAAGTGATGGGAGCGCGCGCTCCGCTACCGAGAGTTAACGAGTGTGACGTAGGCTGTAAGCTACGCATGTGATTGGTTAACTTTGTGACGAACATAGCTTGTGGCCAATTGCATTTCATGAAAAGAAAAACCGGAACAACGGATTTTTTTTCTTTCTTTTTTTTTTTTTTTACAGCGGATTATAAAGCTATGCTGATCTAAAAGGAACGAGTAACGACAAGCTGCCTAGAAAAGTAGTGGAGTAAAAAGTACAATATTTGTCTTTGAAATGTAGTGGAGTAAAAGTAAAAAGTTCCCAAATAAATAACTACTCAAGTAAAGTAAAGATACTCAAAAAATGTACTTAATTACAGTAATAAAGTAAAAGTACTTTGTTACTGTCCACCACTGAAAACGACTCTAGTTTAAAAGATTTCAAAGCATCACCTCACATAATTAATATACTGTCATAATTTGAAATGCTGCCACCATATTTTAATACCACAATATTTTTATACTGCTCAATGCCTAACCTGGGGTCCCTTCTGCCAAAGCTTTTATAAGGGTTTTGTCAGAATAACTGTGTAATGTGAAACTGATGGTATTGTAAAAGTTAATCAAATGCATTTGCACAAATGTTATGAATTAGAAAAAAATGTGTTTAAAAATGGCAACAATCCACTTGGATGTTAGTCGGTTTGGATTGTCTTAAAGCACTAACATTAGCCCATCCAGACGGATGAATTTCTGAAGCACATGGTGACATTTTAAAACAACTCCAATTCCAGTTATTTTAAATGTAATTAATATTTCTACCAGAAGGAAGGTCTACAGCTTGCTGCCACTCAATTATACAGTAACATTTCTGCCAGTGTCCCCAAGCAGCACTAGAAGTGTTACACCTAGCTGCAGCTGCAGATATTCACACATATAAATAATCACAGATTTCAATGTAAATATTTGTTTGCCCTCAAACGGCCAGTCGAAATGAACTTTGACTAAAAACAAGACTTCACAATCCTGGTCTCATTGCTGTGGATGAGCACCACTAAGAAACAACTGAGCTCTATGTGGTGTTTCCTGCATAGAAACAACATTTTAACATGTCCTTTTATGGTAAATGGCCTGAACTTATATAGTACTAGATCAAATCCAAGTACTCCAAAGCACTTCGTACAACAGTCATTCACTCATTCATACTCACTTTCACACATGGTGGTAAGCTACATTGTAGCCGCAGCTACCCTGGGAATGCCATGCACTGGGCTTGAACCGGCAACCCATTGGTTACAGGATGACTCCCCTAACTACTCTGCCACAGCCGCCCCAGCTGAGTTATAAATACTGAAAAGTACTACGTGTACGGCTGTCTAAATGTGAAATAAATAGTACAGAAATAATATTAAAAGTACAAGTAATAGTTTTACTAACTAATGAGTCGTAATGAGTAGCTGCCACTTTGAATTCTGAACTCTCCCACTTTCCAACAAGGAATTCCCACTGGAGGGGGCATTCCAGTTTAAATTTACGATTTGCAAGTGGGAAATCCCCACTTCCCACTTCTGGGCCACAGCAAAAGTAGCTGTCGAAAAAGCAGCAAAATAGACTTTTACAGGCTGCTGAATTCCTTTGAACTCTGTGCCACTCCAGCTGCTGGTGGGATGCCATTGTTTCACGGTGAAAACCTATTTTAAGACATTATTACATCATTGCAGCTCTCGTGGGCCACATAAAATGTTGTGGCAGGCCACATTTGGCCAGCAAACCTTCAGTTTGACACATGCATTAACTTGTCTTGTCGAATGTAATCTATTTCTCCAAACTGAGGCTGTTCAATTAGCTATCTACAACAGGTAAGATATTACCTTTCTACTAAACCCCACTTTAAAATGCCTGAACTGGTGACATAGTGTAAGTTAGTTTGTTTATTTACTTCAATGAAAACCTAAAAAGACGAGTCTCTCTGTTCACGCTTTGTGAGGAATATTCACACTCTGAAGACAATCGGGAGCCAAAACCCAGAACGAATTTCAAGTTGTGTTTTGATAGTTAATAAATCTCTGGGTCCAGTGAGAGGAAACGTTGCCCAGACTTGATCTGCGTTTAATAGAGTTAGTTGAACAGGAGCAGCAAACGTGGCCGTATCAGTGCTTTTCCCCCCGGCGCAGAAAAAGCTGCCGTTGCTGCTTCATTTGAGAACAACAGCACGTCTCTGCATTGTTGTGGCCTACACAAAGCCCATCCCAGATATCACTTCGTCTCCATCCTTCTCTGGCCATGTGTGTGGGGGTGTTGTGCGGAGGTGGCTCAGCAGAAACAGACAGGCAATGAAACCGAGCAAGAAGACGTTTCGTCCGCGTACCTCTGAAATTATTCTGTAAGATGCGGTTGTTGGAGAGGATTGCAGTTTGAGGTTAGATATTACGATTAAAGCATATTTCACGCACAGAAGCTCTTCTGTTCTCTTCTCTTTCTTTGAATTCTCTTCTGTTATGTTTGGGTTATTTTGGGCTGCGTTTGAAAGATTTTTACAGTCAAAGCTGCTTTTAACAGAATCAGAAATATGAGTGTAAAACGTCCTGCTGATGCTGGTTATAACTGGGCTTTCTCTAAAAGACACATTTGATTTTGTTCTCAGTGGGTGTGAGGGATCCAGGTTTTGCTGAGGAGGAAATAATTGGCAGCATTTGTAAATGGTAAAATAACAAAAAAGGGAAAAAAATGTAGTTTGGATATAAAAACACAGACAAAATTTTTGGCACCCTTCAACAATAAAACATAATAAATATAGTGGCTTTTTATCCTTTTTTATGTAACACAAGTCGGACTTTAGATTATTTCATCAGTTGAACTTTTCATCAGATTAAATAAGAATACATTGGACTAAAACAAAGTTTACTTAATTGAACATTTTGCAGCGATCACTGCCAACGAGCGATCTCTGTACCTCAGTGTCTGTGAGTCTGTCTGCCAACAGGTAGTTTGGCCCAGTCCTCCTGAGCAAACGGCTCCAGCTGGCTCAGGTCTGAAGGATGATGTCTCCAGGCTGCAGTTCTCAGATCGTTCTGTAGATGTTCACAAGGATTACCAACCGGTCTCATGGAGGGCTGTTTAAGAGTGTTATTTTCTCAGCTATTCTTGGATGTTTTTAGCTGAACCCACGAGCTGCGACTGAGCTGAAATTTCTGACAGTGGGCAGAATTCTGGTACCTTACAGTCGTACCCTGCACCGATTCAGTGATCCCTGTTCCAGACGCAGCAAAGCAGTCCCGAGAGAAAACCGAGCATCCTCCATGTTTCACAGTAGACGTCATGTTCTTTTCTTTGAAGGCTTCATTTGTCTTTTTGTAAGTAGATGTGTCTGGTTTAAAAAGCTCCAGTTTTGTCTCATCTGTCCCACAAACATTGGAGCTTGTTGACATGCATTTTGGAAAATTCCAGTGAAATCAGAAAGAAACACAAACTGAGGTTTTCTTTACTCTTTTTCTACCATCTACAGCAGGGATTCTTAACCTTTTTTACCTCGAGGCCCTATTTGTTGAACATAAAGTGACACGAGGCCCAGTCACACATTACCAATGTATGGATCAAAATGATAATTATTCTGATTTAAATATTGTCTTAATTTTTATTGTATTTACATCATAACTAAAGCATCATAACTAAATTAAATACACTTACAGTTTAAAAGTAAAGCGTCTGTCAAATAATCACAAGACATGATTATGACAAACATTTTTTTATTGTAACCTGCCCATAACAAATATTTCAACAAATACAAAGGTCATTCAACAGACCACTCAGCACAAAAATATTTTTTTTATATAAACAATAACAAAAATAGACAATTCAAAAAATAAAATTGTTGGCATAAAATAAATAAATTAAAAATGTGTTATGTAAATGTTTCAAATAAAAAAACCCTGAAAAAATAAGTTTCATAAAGTACAAATGAAAATATAGCCTTTTTAATTTTTGGCAACCAGAAGCTGCTCTTCATATTAGTGACAAACAATAACAGTAACAACAGCTTTTTGACTAGTTTAAAATGTCTTTAAAATGCATTCAAAATGTTTAAAAATACTACAAAGTGCAAATTAAAAATATAGCTGTATCTGTAACCGTATTTGATAATGTTTTGAACTTTTAAAATGTTGCATGGTAAAAACAGAAGCTGCACTTCATATTCGTGACAAACTTTGGTGTTTTTCTGATGAGTTACTTTCATTTTTGCTTCTACCTTTCATTTAAAATAGGTTTCCATTCTCGGCAGGTATCGAAGTTTCTTCTTCCACATATTAAAAAAGTTGTTAAACAACTGAGTGGCGCACTACTACTACTACTACTGGTGAGAAAGTGTATTGCACTTATTTCAAAATCGTTGCAGTTCTGCGGCCTTCTGCGGCCCAAAGTTAGAAACTGTTGTTCTTTTGAGGCCCTCAAGGTGGCGCTCTGATCTACAGGATTCCTCAAATCAGCCAGGGGCTGTATTTCCTCTTGCATCCACATCCTGGGCGCTTGACTAGAGTCCTGTGTAGGGATGGGTACCTTTGACGTTTGAATCGATTCAGTACCAATATCCTGTACCTGGGAATCGATACCAGTACTTAACGGTACCAATTTTCGGTACTTTATTTGTGTTGTTTTTTCAATAATAAACTTTTATTTATTTTTTTATTTAATATATTTCTCAATATATAAAATTAACAAATATCAAGACAACATCCATCTCTTTGTATTGTAACATCAGTTGTGAAAACTTATTTCTTTAAAGTGAAAACTCTTGAAAACAACAAGACTGTTTTGTCTCATTGCACAAATTAAAATCCAGCTCCACATATTTCTATTGGTCATTTCCCTGCTAGAAAAGGTGTGTGATGGAGGTCCATGGAAGGCAAGTAAGTTTAAATCAAATAAGCAAAGGAGGATGGAGTTAAAACAAATAAAAGGTATTCAAGCAACGTTTTGAGCATCCAAAATGCGTGCAACGCTTCAAGTTGGCTGCTTGTGCTCTTTCAGGTCAGACGTGTTCGGACTGTCGGGAAGCCCCTCTGTTTTCCTCTGCCGGTCTCTGTTTAATGGTGGCTGAAATAAAGAAAGTGGTGGTGCTTTATTTACTTTGAGCAACCAGTGGTGAACACAGCGGTACTAAACTCTCTTGTTTGTGCCTGTTAAACAGGCTTGACGTCTCCTGTTATATTAGATAAGGTCAAACAAATAGTTTGTAACATGACCATAAATACAAAAGTTGAATAATGTATTTGTTGGTACCAAAAAATCTGTTCATACTATTAGAGCATGCGTTTGCTAAATTACAACGGAGTATTAGGGCCACACAAGATTTAAAAAAAATAAAAATTTAAATTATGAGAATAAAGTCATAATATTACGACATTAAAGTTGTATAAAATAAAGTCATAATATTATGAGAATAAAGTCGTAATATTATGAGATTAAAGTCATAATATTATAAGAAAAAAAGTCATATTGTAGACTTTACACGAAAAAGCATGCAGTTACTGCATTAAAATGAGGAATGTTGAGCAACTTGTCAAGTTGTTCTTTAGTATTGCTATAAATAAATAATCTTTTAGCATATTAGCATCAAATTATCAGTAGCAGGACTTGGAAATTGTGTAAACGACTAAAAACAGAAGCCGTATTGTAATTAATGGATGCATTGACGGATTTAGTTGTCACGTAGCTAATTTGGATGAAAGCATATTAATCTAACAGTGATGAGTCATCATGGACTACTTTATGGCTGTTTAGCAGGTGTGGGGAAAATAAGGAGGAAATGAGGAACGGGATATAGACACATCATGATTATGACTTTTCTCGTAATATTACGACTTTAATCTCGTAAAATTATGACTTTAATCTCGTAATGCTATGACTTTATTCTCATAATATTATGACTTTATCTCATAAAATTGCGACTTTAATCTTGTAAAATTATGACTTTATTCTCGTAAAATTGCGACTTTATTCTCGTAATATTATGACTTTAATCTCGTAAAATTACGACTTCAATCTCGTAATATTATGACTTCATTCTCATAAAATTATTACTTTAATCTTGTAACAATAATTTTAAAAAAATCTCATTGTGTGGCCCTAAATACTCTGTTGTACTAAATAAATAGAATCAGAAACAAAATGTTGTGAGCTACCAGTAAATTTGTTTGCACCTGTGATCGCTTCTCTAGTGATTAACATAAAACCAAATCTCTCCACTAGACCACCATGGTGTCACTAGAGGGCTTGACGAAAGTTGTGGACCCCTCCCAGCTGACGTCGGACTTTGACGGCAGCCTGGACTACAACCACGAAGAGTGGATTGAGGTGAGTCTGACCCATCATCTCTAAACAGGACTGTGATTCTGTGCCAGATGTGTCATTCAAACAGCTGTTTGGTGTCTGAGACAGTTGGCGGTTAAAGGAGTTTATATAGCCCCTCACTCGAGTGTTTCTCCCACACCTTTGGCTAGGTGCGCGTGGCGTTCGAGGAGTTCTCTGGTCATGCCACTCAGATGTTGACTCGACTAGAGGAGATGCAGGAAACAGTGTCGAGGAAGGATTTCCCCAAAGACCTGGAGGGAGCCAGGCGGATGATAGAAGAACACGCTGCATTGAAGAAAAAAATCATAAAAGCTCCGATAGAAGAGCTGGATACTGAAGGACAGAGGTAGGAAAAATCTACCATTCTAATGCATTTATCGACACAAACACAGTGAGTCAGCAGAAGAGGAGACGATCATTCTTCTGAATTTAAAAATAAAATCTTTATGTTGTGTTTATTTAAAGTCTGTATTGGTTAGATGATCAGGGTACATGTGGTTTTTATTATTTTAACTGCATGAGGATTGATAGGAAATTACTGGCCTAAGATAAACAGGAAGTGGTGACAAAGGGGAACTGTCAGGTCTTGTTTAAACGAACTCTTACGCTTCTTCATCTCTCTCTTATAGTGACTCAAAATAATCTAAAGAAATATCAGAGTTAGGTGTGTTATGCCCTTTTTTAAAAAATTAATTACTTTAATGCAAAGTTGGTGTAAAGTCTATATAACATTTTATGATTTTGCACACAAGTAGCTCAACAACCGTTCATCTCAGGGGCTTGATTTTTTTCCCCTTATTAATGTTGTTGTTCCAAAAAAACTTTAGATTTATTACAAAAAAAATGATGTCACGGGCACTTTAAGCCTTGATGTTAATTTTGTATCATTGTTAATTAAAGAGAAATATTGCTATTTTGTGCTGGACATGACCTCTGGATGCCCTGGAGATGTTAAATCTATACACCTGTAAAGAAAAGTAGATTTACATGTAAATATCCACAGAATGAATTAATGAACCTTTTCATGCAAAACTAGCAATGATATTAAGTTTAAAAAAATAAAATTTGCTGAAATCATTTGATTGATTAGTGGTGCTTTATAACGATAAAATGTGCTCTGGTCATAGCTGTGTTCCAACTAGCTACTAGCTCATCAGTCCAGCTGGACACAAAGTGTTACTCCAAACTGAGGTCATTCTAGAAGCTATATTATGTAATATATATTAAACCCTTCAACTCAAAAACCGTCTTTAAAGGAGACCAATTATGGGTCCTAGAAATTTTTATGGTACTGTATGTCTGTGGGCTATCCAGACCATGTTCATTCAATTTAATGCACAAAATAATTCTCAGATAATAAAATTTCCCATTTTCTAGTTCTGCCTGCTCTGACTTCCGTTCAGAAGAGCTGTTTATGTTAATGAGCTCTGTTGGTAACGCCCTCCAAAAATCTGTTGACATTAACTCCGCCCTCCAAAGCCAGCGTTTACGTTAGCATGGCTAATAATAGCAGAAGCTCCGTTGTACAACCATATGAGACCCTGTGAGACCCAGAGGCAGAGTCGGTCGCAGCTTCCTTTTTTTTTTCTCTCCCTCTGCTCTGCTCTCACTCTGCATGCTGTTACCAGAGCAGGGAGCAGCAGCGGTCAAAATACCTCAGAAACTCGAACAAATAGGCTTTAACAAGGCTTTAATAAGCTAAACAATAGAGGTACATGAGAAAATGTGTTCATAACGAACGAAAATAAATAAATAATTAAATAGTGTCTCGAACCCTGGTCTCCCACTCTCTGGTCCAACACTCTACCCATTGCCCTATTGGAGGCTTGTTGTGAAATGAGCTGCACATTGCACAACAACACCGTGACTGCTTTTTATATTAAGGAGGTGGAGTCTCACCCGGGGGTTGCTAGGTAAGGGGCTGAATGCAGGTTCTGGTGGGTTATCGTACGGCTTGTGACATCACAAAATGACGGAAGTATAAAACTTGTCATTAATATACATTATAAATACATTTACTTACAGTAAATATGCCCCTGGGTGCATTTTTTTGGTCCTAGGACTGTTTTTGTAAGAAGTACATACCCAAAGTCGAGTAAAAAAAACCTTTAAAAAGTGAATTTTGCATAATAGGTCCCCTTTAAAATAAAGGAATTAGATGTTTAATTAATTGGGGTGTTCATAACTGTTTTGTAGATTTACATTTCAACACATAAATTTCATGCATATGCAATTTAAAGGTGTGTTTTTATTTTTTTCACATTTTTAAATCTTATTTTACGTTTTTATCTTTTTCTACCTTTTATTTTATCTTTTTCAATGTTCTGATTTATTTGCTACGGTGTTTGTTTACATTTTTATCTTATTTTATCTAACTTTTTGTTTTCGTTTTTACCTCCTATTTTACCTTTTTTAATGTTCTGATTATTTGCACTACGGGAGCTGCAAAATTATTTTGTAATTCATTGTCTGTGGACTGCAGTGTTCTTTTTAGTGCAACAGTGACAATATAGATCTATCTATCTAGCTATCTAGCTTTCTAGCTATCTAGCTCTCTCTCTATGATCATATTTGTTAAAAAGCCAAAAATCTGCCTGAAAACTTTAATAATTTTGACTTTGATGTGAACCACACACCTAATTAATGTGACTGAGCGAGCTCGTTCAAAAAGACAACACCGCCTGAAGGTGTGTTTTTAACACACACAGTTGTTTCTAAAGGACTATTTATCAACCAACATTATGATTAATGGACTGAGTGTTTTGCTTGAGTCCAAGTCTTTTATAAAATCAGTGTTTTTGTAGGAGTTCAGAAGGATCAAGTCTCTTTCAGTCTGAATGGAGTTTATTGGCCCATCATGATTATTGTTATTTATGTAATCTTATATATGTATTAAAAAGATGCAGGTGGCGTACCATTACACTGCTTATAGACTTTATTGACCAAGTAAGAGTTTATCTTATAAAACTGTTTGCTGCTGGGGAAAGGGCTTCTCTAACTTCCAGCCTTTGAAAAAAAATGCTCATTTTATTTTCAAAGCACTCCTTTGTGATTTTAGGACTCAGGTGTTTTTTTTAATAATTTGAATGCTTATAGTTAGTAAAACTTATGAATAACTGAATTATGAATTTGATAATTATCAAATTATCAATTACCTTTTCTGCACAGTGATGAAGTTTTAGCGTGTGTTTGCTGGTAACTGTTTCTACTTCACTATATTTTGAAATAAAATATAGAACAAATCACACATTTTCTCTAAACAATCAAATCTCTTTCCTAGGTTACTCCAGCGGATTCAGAGCAGCGAGTCCTTCTCCAACCGTAACAGCAGCAGCAGCGGTGGCGGCGGCGGCGGCAGCAGCAGCAGTAGCAGCGGTGGCATTTGTAACGCTGACACCCAGGGCCTGGTGCCCCGGATCACGCAGCTGCTGGACAAGCTGCACTCCACCCGGCAGCGCCTGCACCAGACCTGGCACGTCCGCAAGCTGCAGCTGGATCAGTGCTTCCAGCTCCGCCTGTTTGAGCAGGACGCAGAGAAGGTCTGTGCACTAGTGGGAACAGATAGTTGTACAGCGCGAGCTGAATAGAGCGGTAATCTATAATTACAGATGGTGACCGGTGTGGGCCAGGCAGCTGTCAATAATAAAACTTAATTAAAGCCACAGAGAGGCATCGATTCATGCTGTTTGTGGAGTCAACATGGACTCATTTTTGTTTTTAATTTGACCTGGAAACAGGAATGTGCTGGAGAAGTTGAAACTGAGCTGTTAAAGCTAAAAAAGATGAACAGTAGCTAAAAGCTTTAAGAAGAAAAATGTTAAATGAAAGTAGTAAAAATGTTAGCTTAAACTTAAAAGGAGCAGAATAAGAAAAATAGCAAAATCAGAGCTAAAAGTAGCAAAATACTAGGTCAAATATATAAATGGTTAAAAGCTAGCTAAAATTGGAAAAATGCTAACAACAAAACAAAATTAAAAGTAACAAAACACTTTCTGAAAAACAAAATAATAGCGAAAAGTAGCAAAATTAGTAGCAAAATACCAGCTAAAAGAAACAACACTAACTAAAGTATGAAAATGCTGTCCAAAAGCAACGTGTAACTTAATGTTTGTTCAGATTTAGCTGGAAATTAAAAGTAGCTAAAGGCTAGCAAAAGTAGAAAAATGCAAGCTAAAAGTGAATATGCTACACAAGCTTAAATCCAAACATTATAGTACAATGCTAAAAAGTTGCTAAAGAGAACAAAACAATAGCTAGAAAACAGTAACTTAAAGCTAATAGAAGCTAAATGAAAGCTGAGAGTAGTAGATGTAAGCTAAAAGTAACAAAACACTTAAAGAAACAAAATAATAGCTAAAAGTAGCAAAAAGCTAACCTATAGTAACAAAATGCTAGCTAAAAGGTAAAATAACAAAACATTAACCACAAGTATCAAAATTCTATTCAAAAGCAACTTGTAATTTAATGTTATAAAAAAACAAGTAGCTAAATGCCAGTCAAACACCCAAAATGTAAGCTGAAAACTCCAAAGTAAGATTCAGCATACTTTAAAGTATGCTGAATAAGAAATCAAAAAGCATCAAAACGTGTCTGAAGAAATTTGAGATATTTTTGTTTCTATGAAGAAAATTTTAGTAAAAGAAAAAAGGTAATGTTTTTAAAATTACTAAAACCACACAGAATCATAAAGGCTTGCATAAGTTGAATATGTTGTGCAGAAGTGGTTAAATGTGAAAAAAGGAACGAAAGCAAAGACAAAAACGTGAAGCTGGACAGGATAACAAAAATGTAAACACTGAATCCTCATTCTCACAACAAAGAGTCAAAACTTCAGCGTCTCAGAGCCACAGGGTGATGGTTATTCAGGTGCTCGGCTGCCACCCAGACAGCTCAGGCAGGCCATGACGGCTGCGGCACAAGATAGAAAGAGACAGGGAGTGAAACTCAGGATCCACGTTTGACTGAGTGGAATAAAATATCAGGCTGCAGTAATGGTGGGAGCTGCAGTCCTGGATGCACTGCAGCAGTGGAAGCTTGTTGCTAGGACACCACAGGCCACAAGTTGTTCTCCGGGAGAGCATGAGAGGATACTCCTAATAGAGGCAATCCGTTTCTCCGTTTCCTGGCCTGGAGAGATGACGGCTCTGTGAACACTGCGGCAGGACACACACACACACACACACACACACACACACACAC